CACCCCCTCCAATTTAATATGGAAAAAAACTGTTTGTTAAAGAACTCAAAAGTTACTCAACAACATAAGTATCTCGACTATGGTAGAAGAACTGATCATAGAAATCAGCAATACGTTTGCTTGGCTAGAGCTCTACAATAGAGATGGAAAAGTCCAAGCATCGTGTGATGAAGCTAATTAGCTTCGGCACAACATAAGCTATCATTAATTTTCCATTGTATGCTCAGTTACAAACCAGATCATTTGTTTGCTATGTTCCCCCCTTCCAATTAGTGGATAGTCTCGGGAAAATTCATTTACATACCTGATATATAATGTAGCTTTCAAATAAACAGCAGGTGCAACTTAAAACATGTTGAGGGATGATAATGGCATGTGTGTGTGTGTGTATATATATCATTTTAATTCTCTCGAGTACAACAAAGGGTGACAGCACCTGAAGGAAAAAAATAAGATCAATGATGAATACCTCTGGAAGATATATGCGTAGATGGTTGAGCAATGAAATGTACTTTGGACTTCTAGCTTGCAATTTTGAGGCAAATGTCCGTGGGGTGGTATCACTGAGATTTGCCCCAGCAACATGATTTCCATGGTAGTAATTCCGGACCCCATTGTGACTCTCCACAGCTTCAAGCACAGGAACATTCTCCCTTGTTAACCAATCGAATTGATGGACACCTTTCACTTCAATTATAGCCGGAGAGATAGGATTTAGGGCAAACCATGAATGCATGCCGGCATATGTTTTCTTGTCAGTTATGACATGAAAAACAATCTTTTCGGGCTTTACAGATGACTGGACAGCAGATGTGACCACAACTGCAGCAGCAAGAATGTTGTCGGTGGCCAATACAAAGTGATGGTAGGAGTTGTCAGAAAGCAATGGCAGTAACTCTGGTGAAGGCAACTGTTTGCGTGCATGAGCATTGGAAGAATATTCGTCGGTTAACCTCAAAGAAAGGCAGTGAATGCCCTTAGGAATTGCAGTAGCTGCAAAGTGCTTATTCATTAGCTCCGCAAACTTGGACTCCCTAATCTCCCTTTCAGATCTCTCTAACTGCCAAGCATAAACAGAAGATTTGTTTGACAAAAAAAAAAAAATTTACCTTTAAAAACCCAGAAGGATTTTGAGATTGTGCGCCTAATATTGTGATTATATTTGTCTCAATGAAGCAAGACCAATTAATTACAATGAGATAAATGTGGTCTCAGCAAAATACGCCAAAACATACCAAGCTTTCTTTAACTTTACCTTTTGCCTCCAGTTACTATTTTCCCTTTCTCTTTCAGTAAGGGGAAGAAGGTGTTACTGAGTTTGAAGATAGACTATAGATAGCATTCCCTGTAGAATATGGAAAAAGAACAAAGACGATTCCTCGAAAATCACAACTAATAATGGATTTATTTTCTAGCAAAAACAAGCTGCCAAGCACTGATTGTAGTTTCTTAAACATTCAGCTATTAAGAGACACCTTACACATTGCTTTTGCAATATTTTATATTCTATCCCACTGAAAAACTGCATTACTTTTTTTTCCTTTTTGAGGTGAAGAACAAGTTAATGGGTCTTCTATAAACATTGAGCAATTTTTCCACACTGGGCCAATATGATTTCAAATTTCTAGTCAGATGTTGCTAAATCATTTGCCCATATACGATGATGACTGCTCCTTTTCCCCTTTTCTGGTCCTATATATCCATTTTCTGACATACACCGGATAAACAGTTTCATCAAATAAGTTCGTTCAGATATTATCTGATATCCAAGATCATCTTTTGGCATGTTTAAAAACATTAAAAATGTGCCAAATCTCTTTTCCTATTTTCCAATCTGTAAAGAATTGAGTTGATACATTAGTACCACAGAAAAGCCAAAGTCAACATATGGAGACTAACATGCTAATGGTTTTGGGCTTGTGCATTGGAAAAAGTGAAATAAGGGATAGAAGAAATCTAGCACAACTCAAAATTCAAATGACAGCCTACCCTTGCAAAAAGGTACGTGTTCATATATAAGGCCAGTCAAATGGCATGACAGAGAGAGCGTGAGAGAGCAACATTTTTCAGGTGATACATACCATTCCTTTCAAGATCAAGGCAAACTCCTTGGTACTGTATTTGTTGTTTTTCATCTCAGTAACAAGTTGACTGAAAGACATTGGAAGCTTCAGGCGATCGGGGACTTTCTCAGAGTTCACTTGATTGAGGATCTTCACGAAATCCTTAACCACCCTCTGTTACAAGAACAACAGATTGATAAATTACCAGCATCAAAATGTTAACTTAAGTGAAGCTTTAACAAAAACAAATCAAAGCAAGCAAATACAAAAGAAAAAAATATAAAATTTACCCCTGAATCATCAGTTCGACCAAGAAGCTTTGGCCCCAACCGTCTTCCTAGACAATCTGAGAAATGGAAGAAAGCAAAAAACTGAACCACATAAGTTTGTTAAATACACTAAAAAAACATCTTAGTATGTAAGTGGAAATCTAGCACCGAAACATTTAGATTGAAACATGGGAAACATAAGACACGAGAAAAGACAAGAATGTACATCACCAAAGAGTAAAAGCACCACATTAACAACTAGGATGCTAACACCCACTAACTTATTCCCTTGGCATTCCACATATTCAACCACATAATATGTGGCACACCATAATTATAACAATGTCAAAACAATGAAAACTGATAATTGGAGTTCAAGATGTACAGAGAGACAGACAGAAGAACACTGATATCTACGGAAAGGAGAGAAAAATATATGGGGGGAAACCAAAAGAACCGTAACAAGTAGTTAAATAGCAGGTAAGATAAACAAGCAGGCACTTTTGTTTGGAAAATATATACATACAAATTAAAAGACGCAGAGACACCACTATATCAACCATAAACAATGTCCAAAAGTTGCACTCAAAATGTACAGTAGATCACCCCACATATTTCAACAGCTTTGAGTTAATACCAGATCCTACACCTTGGGCTTGGTCATAAATACGGTTTTGACATGCCAAGATAAAGGCTTGAAAAAAGAATTATTTCTAGCACAGGAGCACACAGAGTGGTTGCAATAGCCAACAGTAAGGAAAATATTCAATAATCTACATGTCTAAAATAGAATTGATGACCAAAATCAGTTATCTTTGTAAATTCTCCAAAATCTATTTGTATCAGCTGCTAGTCCTTAATCATTTTGATCCGGCTATTGAAAAACTAGAGTAAATGAATCTCTGAAATAGTTGGACAATCACAAATATGAAATGTCATGGTTGTATGCAACTTCAACAAGTTTGGGAACAAATCAATCTATGACTACCCAATCAACTGAAGCGATTCCAACAACACAATGCAACATCTTGAAAAACAAAGAAAAAGAACCCTAATCTGTATAATGAAAAAACAACAAATACCAGTGAGATTTAAGTAACACAAATCACGGAATCAATCATAAAAAGTACAAAAGCGTTTATTAAAAATTAAAGGTAAAATGTGGTAAGTACCGAATGAAGAGCACTTGTTAACGCCTTCGAGGGTGACATGGGCGGTAAGAATGAAAACAAAAGGCAATAAAAATGCAAGAGTCAGAATGGTGTGGAAGAGTGTGCGATAAGAGATGTGGCGAGGTGAGACCTTGATCTTCATCAAATCCCCGCCACCCCCATTGCTATTTCCACCGTTGCTGCTTGATGATATCGTTATACTTCTCATGCTAGGTGAGAAGTGCAGCTGCATCTTCCTTCTCCGCCACCTCTTACAATACTATCCACTTCCCAACTCTTGCCCTCCTCCCTCAAATCAATAAAATTACCGCTTGCACGACTACACCTCCAGCTAACTCCAACACTAAAAGAAATAATTTCCTTCCCCTCCAAAAATCGGTCCGAACAATTGTTTGTAAACAATGATGCAGTTTTGACCATCAGATCCGCCCCCACAGCTATTCCAGAATCCTGTCTTTTCCTCCGCTCAATATATTCCGCCACATTGAATTCTATATGGCCCCACAATAAATCCCGCCCAATCGGCTAACCTAGGGTTTCCTTTTTTCAATTTAATTCTCTCAAAGACATCTACGTATACACAAAATCAATCAATCAATCAATAAATGAACGTAAAGAAGAAAAAAGATTCAAAGACAACTGGCAAATATATACGTATATACTATATACGCATTCACAAAGTTTGGTGCCTTTGCAGATTAATGGCTGATGATTGAATGCATCTCTCTGGATCGGATGAGTGAATGTAGAGAGAGAAATGAGAATGTGTATTTTGTGTTTCTTGTTCTCCCTTGAGCTTTATTGTCCGAATCTATTAATCGCTTATAAATAAAAAAATTATAAACAAAATTGACAATTTAAGGAAATTTCGCATTATTGGTCCTCATATATTCTTAAAATAGAAAATTGGTCCTCAATCTTTAGAAAATATCAAACTAGTCCCTTAATCTTTAACTACAATTGCATAATCAACCTCCAACGACATAAATAATTCGAATCCACATTACACTGACTCATTAATCCAGGGCCGACCCTAGGGCAAGCCACCTAGGCAACCGCCTAGAGTCTCAAAAAATTTGGCTTGAGTATAGGGCCTTAAAACTCATAGTAATATCATTATACCAGCACAACACTCCATGTCTGAATCTATTATACCAGTAATTCAGTAGGGCCTCAAAATAATTTTTCGTTTAGGGCCTCCAAATTCTCAGGATTGGCCCTACATTAATCTCGTAAGAACAATACTCGCTTCATAATCATGAACACCAACACAAGTTGAAAACAAATCTATCTTTATAACGTTAAGGCCACATGATAATGTAATACAAGAGATTTGACAAGTATATGATTAATTTGTTCTTTTTAAAATGTTGTAGGACTAACTTTTCTACCAACAATAGATTGAGTAAATAGTGCAATATTTTCAAAAATATTATCACACTAATTTATTACCAATAATATAAACTTTCTTTGGGTCAAAACCGTGTTATGCTAACAAACTGAGAGGCTAGGATTAGGATTGGGGTTGACATGGCGAAGGTGAAACATCTAAGTCGATGAAATCTCGATTCACTTAACGTTCTTAACTTAATTTATTCGAAGATATTATAATTTAAATAAATGATTCTAATATATGTATATAAGTAACTGTCTCACTAAAATTTTTCTCATGAAGTTTGGGGGTTGAGGAGTGAGGTTGGTGTTGACTTGGACAACGTAAACCATTTAAGTCGTTGACGTCTCAACCAACTTAATTTTTGTCTTAACTTAGTTTCTGCAAGGATGTTACAATTTGAAGGAATAGTTCTAATATGTGTCCATCGTATTTTTCTCATGAGCAGGTAATTTGGGGGCTAAATCTTGTGGGTCCTACAATTACTGGAAAGGGAATGGGTGCTCGTTTGAGGTAGATTTTTAATAAATAAAGTCGGTGGATCCTATAATATAAGCATTTAAAAAGTTAATAAAAGTTGTAGCTCTAATGAAATGTTTGATTAAAAATTAAGTTTGACCATTTTTATTAGCTTTTTAGCAAAAAGTATCTCTACGAAATCAGCTCTATTTTGGATTTAAAATTTCAATATTGGAATTGGGAGTGGGATAAAATCTTAATTTTCTTGGGATTAGTAATGCTATCCGTTTCAACTGAAAATTAGCCGTTATTAGTATATAAAAAATTTAAAATCTTTTTAGGTATATACCTAGTTAGGCTTTTTGGCCAGAGGGTCATAAAGGTTAGTTGAGCAAGCAATATCGACAGGTGAATGGTCTTTTTTCAGTTAGAATTACTTGATTGACATAAATAAATATAAAGTAAAAAAATTAACAATAAATATAATTTTGAATGCTCACAAGCAGAAAAATGTTGTGGGAGTAACGTAATGTATTAGCATGCTTGAAATGAGATTAAGCTCGATTGACTGGGTTTAAGGTGAATTTTCAGACTCGAATGTTTGTATAACTAAGTAAATGAGATCTAACTACGCGAAATGAATATTTGTTGATATTTTTCGTATTTAACCTTGTGCCTACTTGAATTGAGTACTCTGATTGTGCGCTTGAATCTAATTTAGCTATAAACTAAGTTGGATTTCTTGTCAACTATCAATCATTCTTAATTTTCTCACTCAATAAAGTGATCAAAATCTTGCAACCAATCTTTTACACGAAATAAATGTACAACTCTCATTGTTTTCTCTTTGTAAGATGAAGGGTAATGTACAAATTCTACATTGGAGCTAGTCACCCCACACTGCAACATGACTCAACAAAATTTTACCTGTCAAAGCCCATCAAAAGTTCACCTATGCCTTCCACCTAAAATCACACTAATCTCTGTCCATGTGTTTACCATGATAATCCCATATCCTATAAAGCTTAGGCAAATCAATAATTCTGAAATTTATCTCGTCGAACCATGGAAAATGGTGCTGAAACTATTGCGCAAGATGAAATTATTTTCCGAAGCAAATATCCATCCGTTCAAGTTCCTGAAGATTTAACACTGCCAGAATTTGTGCTTTCAAATGCAGAACAATATCTAGATAAGGTGGCATTTGTGGATGCACTAACCGGAAAAGGATATAATTATGGAGAAGTTACTAGAGACATTAAGAGGTTCGCTAACGCCTTGAGGTCACTTGGGCTGAGGAAAGGCCGCGTTGTGGTGGTTGTACTCCCAAATGTGGCCGAATATGCTGTCATTGCCCTCGGAATCATGGCTGCTGGTGGTGTATTTTCTGGTGCAAATCCAAATGCACATTCATCAGAAATCAAGAAACAAGTTGAGGCTGCTGATGCCAAGCTTATTGTCACAGATGGATCAACCTATGACAAGGTAAAAGTAAAACTTAAGAATGAAATAATATGAAAAGCAGGTATTATTTTTCCACTAATATAATTTACAATCTGAGTTTTGTAACTGGGCACAATAGGTTAAGGATTTGGGACTGCCAGTTATAATACAAGGCGAGGACCGCGTGGAGGGAACTATATACTGGGATGAATTGCTAGAAGCTGCAGATAGAGCGACTACTGGTATTGTTGAAGAAAAAGTGCATCAAAATGATCTATGCGCTCTACCATTTTCATCAGGCACGACTGGCTTATCGAAGGGGGTTATGCTAACTCACCGGAACATAGTGGCTAATCTCTGTTCTACGCTGTTCAGTGTAGGACCAGAATTAATAGGACAGGTTACCATACTTGGTCTAATACCATTTTTTCATATCTATGGTCTTACCGGAATATGTTGTGCCTCTATTAGAAACAAGGGGAGAGTAGTGGTGATGCGCAGATATGAACTTCGGGCATTTATGAGTGCATTGATCATACACCAGATCATGTTCGCACCAATTGTACCACCCATCATTTTGGAGTTGGTTAAGAACCCCATAGTCGATGAATTTGATCTCACTAAACTCAAGCTTGGGTCTGTCATGACTGCAGCAGCTCCACTTGCCCCTGAAATTCTTACAGAATTTGAGAAAAAATTTCCAGGTGTTGAAGTACAAGAGGTAATGCACAATTTATGATATTTACATTCTATGAAACCAGATACAAAATTTGCCAGAGAGAGTTCTTTGATTTCATTTACGATTCACTACCAGGCATACGGAATGACAGAGCACAGCTGCATTACACTAACACATGGGGATCCAAATAAAGGCCATGGAATTGCAAAGAGAAACTCAGTGGGATTTATACTTCCAAATCTGGAAGTAAAGTTTATCGATCCTGAAAAGGGTCGGTCTCTCCCAAAGAACAGCCCAGGTGAAATCTGTGTTAGAAGCCAGTGTGTGATGAAAGGTATAAGCCAATCACTACAATTATTACTATTTCTTATATTTTTTTTAGAGATCCCAACTCAAGGATTTATGCAAAAAATTTCCAGGTTACTATAAGAATGAGTATGAGACTACTCTGACTATAGACAAAGAAGGGTGGCTCCACACAGGTGACATTGGCTACATTGATGATGATGGAGATGTTTTTCTTGTGGATCGCATCAAAGAATTGATCAAATACAAAGGATTCCAGGTATCATAAAATGGCCAAATAACTCTGCCGAAAAGTCATTCAAATCAACACAAAGATTGGTCTTTCGATCAAGCATTTGAAACTAAGACATATAAGCTTAGTTTTGCGGACAGAAACACGGTCAAAAACCAAAAATCTGAGCAGGTTCTTACATATATTTGACAGGTTGCTCCTGCTGAATTAGAGGCAATCCTTCTATCTCACCATTCAGTTGAAGACGCGGCCGTTGTAGGGTATTGTCCATCACAAGCTTTGATTCCCATTTCCCAGCTTACTATAAGAATTAATGTCACTGAAAAAGGACTATGTGTTGCAGGTTACCGGACAAAGAAGCAGGGGAAATACCTGCAGCATGCGTTGTTGTAAGCTTGAAAGCAAAAGAAAATGAAGAGGATATTATGAACTTCGTTGCATCTAACGTTGCCACCTACAAACGAATTCGGATACTGCAATTTGTTGACATGATCCCAAAATCACCTTCGGGAAAGATAATGAGAAGGCTTGTGAAGGAAAATATGGTGAAAATTCTGCAGACAAACACAAAAGGTTGAAGAAATGTTATCTGATAATCTTGAATTACCTGTGACCGAAAGATGTGTCAGTTCAATAATGCTGGAGAATATTACTTTTATCAATGAATGTGTTTTCTAGTTACTTTAATGCGAAACTGTCAGAAATTTCACCACATTTCTTTGTTTCCAGAGGCTCAAACTCAAAACATTGATTTGAAAATTGGAAGATTCCAATATTGATATATATTGCAGGACAAAGTATGCACAATAACATCATAGTAAAATTAGTCACTGAACAAAAATTAAGTTACATGCTAACAATTTTTAAACAAAAGAAACAGCCTGTCTACTACTCAAGAAGATAATACACAAGGCACAATGAGGTGCGGAATTAAATATTTTGAGCCTTTCTTATTTTAGGCAATATAATGAGTTGTTTAATAAGGTGATATATACAGCACAGTCATGTCAAATAAAACTTGTTTAAACTTGATTTGTAGAATAATGAACTACTGAATACCTTTGAAGCTTGCTTTTAAGTCAGTTTGTGATATCAATGAATTTGCATACGTATATCAGTCCACTCGGGAAGCTCCATCTATTTCTCAGAAACAAATTGCTTTCTCTTTTAGAGTTTTGGCTGTGAATTCTAAAAATTGCACAAAAGCACAACTAAAGCATTTGTTTTCATAAAAAGAAACACACACACACAGAGAGCGAAAGTAATGGCATGCTTTACTTCAGACGCTTGAACTACTCGAGGACTTCCCAAAATAAACTTCTTGTTAACCATGAAACAAATAAGCAAAACGGGAATACAAGTCAAAGTTATTGTATCAAAAGCAGGCATTAGAGACACTAATCCTTAAGCTCAAATAAGAAAAAAAATGCACTTCAACCTTTTTTGTGTCCTCATATCTCATTCACTTGCTATGTTGCTAATATTTCTTCACTTTCTGTAACTGGTTTTTCGATTGTTAAATTTAAGCAAGTTATGTGACTAATACATCTGCTGCCATTCTGCATTAATAATAAAAATGAGCTAATTTACTCTTGCATTTGATTTGCTCATAATGTATGATTTCATCAAACAAAATCAAAGAAAACCAAAGTACGTACTCAGTGAATTTTGTTCTACAGCAAGCAAACTAGAAAGGGCTTGACCAAGAGATGATTCTAAAGCAATAGAATACCAATTCCAGTAGAAAAACCAAAAAAGGTTTGATCAAGAAAAGCCTGAGAAGCAGGAGAATACCAGCAAGAGCACTGACCTTGTTTATCCTCAATCACTACAAATCTTTTTACCTTTCTAGAATGTAAAGCATAATAAACCTGAGAAAGGAAAACGAATACATTCCAAAACTAGGAACATGTACAGTCAAATGATCCAAAAGAGCAAATAAACAGTGTTTAAAATTAATTTTAGCAAAAATCTATTATTGTACTAAATTACAGAAGTGAAATGGCAGGTTATTTATATGATCTCCTACAACTAAGAATGTGGAAAAAAAAAAGAGAGAAGAAGTAGAAGAAGAGTTCTAAAACCAAAAGGAAAACAACTAATATACATTTGAGTCAAAATGTTTGCCAACTATCCGCGTTTCATGTAGCACCAGAAACTGCATGCCTCTTCACCATAGCAGCATGTTTTTGACCAGCAAGGTGATGGTTGAACACTGTCTCACTGTTGCAAATCACATTACAGTAAACACATGCACGCACAGCATCAGCCGCTGCACCTCCTTCCAAAACTTTTCTTCGTTTTGTCTCCAAATCCTCCGTTCGCTGTGTTGCCCTTTTCTGTGTTTTTTGCCCTCCAGTTGCTTTGTCTTTGTCCTGTTTCTCTTGTGGTCCAATTAACGGTGCAGATGCAGCAACAACTGTACTAGTTATCCTGTTTATTTTTTCCAAATTTTTCTTGTGCTTCTTTCCCAATTTATGTTGTTCAAGGACATCCTTACTGTTGCATTCAATCTTGCAAACTTCACACCATGCAGATTGTACAACCTTCGTCTTCTTCTGGGTCCTTTTCCAATAATTAATTCTCTGAGACTGAACTTCTGGATTAGTCCAAAAGGTAGAACTGGTATTTGCAGGAACCGAGTTTTGTGTATCACTGGAAGGTACCGTTACACCCTGCAGTGATGAAAGGAACATATTTATTTATTTTTGGGATCAGACATGGTTGATACTCCCCTCACTCACCCAATAAAGGTATCGAATTATTATAAAACAGTATTAAAATGCAATAACGTATAAAGGGGAAAAAAAAAAAAAGCAGCTTTATCGTGATTCCACCTATTGACAGTGAATAGACAATTCGATCAGCAATTTTGTTTCTATGCAGAAAAAAAAAATAGATTTTTGTTTTCTCACGATTCTCGGATAGCTGAGGCAACTGTTGAAACTAAAAGAATAACTGTATTGTGCACTGATTTACGTGGTATCTAATGGTTGCCATATTTGACTAATGGACTGATTCCCCATTGTAACCTAAAGTTCCACCATTTGAATTGCTAAAAATAACTCCATTTATTTAATATATTCACATTCTATAATTCCTTTCATTGGTTATGTGGTGTAATCAAACCTAGTTATTAGTAAACTCAAATTTGGAGAGAACAGAAAGGAAGATGACTGGTGAAAACCAACAGTAATTTCAAATACAACGGTGAAGCATTTGATCAGAAGTAAGCAATCAATTGACTGATAACAAATGGTTGAAAAACACTAACTTTGATTCAGAACTCTGTCCAAATATGAAAATACAATCTATGATAACTTATACGCAATCAAAATCTCTATCTTCAAGAACTCAGGTGTTAATGTTCTAGAAATGCTTAATTAAGTAAAACACCCAGATCTGCAGACATTAAATGGCTCCTGAAGTGCAAATCCAGCAAAAAAGTAACTACAGCACACACCAAAGTTCCTATTACTTTACCCTCAAAGGAACAATATTTAGAAACAGGATAGCCGATATACCTACGAGACTACATTCACAAACATATAACCAAACACAAAGTTACCCACACAGATCATACCAGTCTCTATAACCTGAACAACATCAATCAAAATTCAGCAAAATGAATATTTAGGATCGATTCAACACATCAAAAATCAAGAATTCAAATGAAAATAATATTTGAGAGCAAAAATCCACACAGTTGCACCAAGATTTGTCCCAAGTTGCCAGATAGCTGCCACCCAATTCTGCACGGCGGCGGCATTCAGGTCTGGATAATAAGGCACAGCAGAGTCAGCAGCGACCACAGGCTGTTGTGGGTCAAAGCTGTGTGCTTGCTGCGAGTATGTGACCGTTGGAGTCGCAGGTGTGCGCACATATGGGTGATCAACCCCAGGTGGGTACGGCTGAACCAATGTACTAGTTGTATCAACACCGGTGTAAATGGGTGGTTTCAGGGGATCAGAATTAGGGTTGGGATTCGGGGAATAACCTGAGTAGGCATGGGTGAAATACGGGTCCGAATTCGGGTTAGGGTTTATGGGCGGAGGGTGTTGCATTTCAGGCCAGCCGCTGAAAATGAAAATTCGTACAGGAGATGAAAGTGGTGTTTGCAGATAGTTCTGTAGTACTTGTCTGGGATAGCTTAAAATTTGCTAAAATATTGAGATTAACCACTGTTTGAGCCTCATTTTGGTTTTTTTTTTTAAAAATAAAATTATAATAGTGATTTTCTAATGAACATGTGATAAAAAAAGGGGGAAAAGTTTTTAGTTGACGTGTAAAATTATTTTATCTAAAAATATGTGGTTGAAATTTAATTTTGAAAAAATGGAAACCAAACATAGAGTAAAATGAAAAATTAACGTTAACTGTGAATTTTAAATTTTATTAAATTTTGAATCACAGGTTTTATCAACTTTTATAAAAATTTGTAAATTTTTTATCTAGATTTTCTCAAACAATTTATCAATCATGCTTGGTTTACATCATATTTTATATTATCTTTTACACTTTGTCACGTATTATTAAACCATTAAACAGTTTAAAAATAAAACAGTTTTTTCATCGAATCAATTCTTGACAACATGGATGATGTCAACCATGATGTAAGGAAGTTGGTATAAATAGCAAAATTCTTATTTTATTAGAAATAGTTTTTAAAGTATCTTTCATTGATCCAAACAAATAATGGATTAAGAAGTATATCCCAAAATAATTAGCTATGAGAAGCCCGCAAAATAGTAGAAAAGTAGCAAACAACATGGATGACATCGAGACGAGAAATTTTCGATCCTTGAGAGAACCCTTTTTTTTTTTTTTTTAATATCCAGGTATCCACCTTACAGTGACTAAATTCTGGAGTCTACACCTTGGCCCCTCAAACTGCAGACATGTTAAACCCCAAGTTGTGCTTCAAACTGACCAGTGCTCAAGAGCCCCTCTAACTGATTTGCCAAAGCGCCAAGCAAGTCGTTTCTCATTTTTGCACTTTGCCTTCCAAGATAAATCTTGCCTTCCAGGAGAATATCTGCCTTTCAAAAGCCTTCCAGGAATCGAACTCACGACCTCTGATCTGCCAATTTCGAAGCGTCATCATCTTTGCCAGTTGGGACGTGCTCTCAGCGCAAAATTCGGAATAATTTATAGGATGTGCCCTGAGAGCACCCGTTTTGAACGGATGGAGACGGGGATGAAGCCAAAATCGTTGCCCGAGTATGGGACACGGACAAAGGTCCTCGCCTAGTCCTCATCTCACTCCAATTTAAAAATAGTATAATGTACTATTTTATCATTCTGTTCATGTAATTGTTATAGTTTAATTTAATTTATAAAATTAATTAATATTTTAAGTGGTGATGGAGTGGGGATGTGGGATGAGGAAATCACAAGTGAGGTGGGGACGGGATTCTCGTTCCGTTGTCATTCCTACATGTTCGATGGGCATATTGTTTCTCTAAGAGACAACGACACCTACTTCTTGAAAAAAAAAAAAAAAACTGTAATATTAGAAATTAAAGCATTCAGCTCTGAATAGGAAAATGATTGGACCTTATGAACCATTTGTTGCTCATCACATTCAACCTTCGAACAATGTTGAGGAAATTCAAATAACACAAACACCAGACTTGTCCGCTCGGAACTACAGAATCCACTTTTATGTCTCGAAATTATTGCCACCACCATTGTAGTGATCTCTAATAGTTGACTGGCATAGCCTAATTCGATGCCCGCATTGAACTTTGAGCTGCCATCTTAGGTCCTGTTTGATGGCTATTATTTGGCAAAAATAAAGTTTTGAATAGTGAATTTTTGGAGAATATATGATTAAAAGTAAGAAAATTTTTTGAATTTACGTACTAAATATTTCTTTATATTAATGTGTGATTGAAAATGACTACACAGCAAAAAAAGAAAAAAAAATATTTTAAATAATGATTGTCAAATTGAGACTTATTAGTTTTGTGAAATGCCTCTCCATTCTTAAATGTGAGAGAGAGAGAATAAATTGAAGTCTCTTAAAATGGCAAAACCTATTAATGATTACGGTTGTATTACATGTACACAATACTACTATATAATTGTTTGTATGCACATGAAATGGTGTGATATGATTGGATCATAATTTTTTCAAAAGAAAAAAAATTCTCCACTCTTTTTTTGACAACACGTATTTATGTAAACCATTATATAACTACTTATGCACAAGTAACATTATTTGAATGATTAAAGAGAATGTGTGTCTTTTTTACTTGATTATTTCTTTAAATATTGGGTTGTGATTAATATTATCTAATTGTTTAGGGTTTCTATCTAATATAGTGTGCCTAAGCATTCAATATTTTTTCATAAACTGGCCTCGTCTCGTGCGTTGCACGAATTTTGTATTTATTTTGATTTTATTAGCGTAAATTTTATAGATTGTACAAAAAGTATTTGGAAATAAGAAATGTTTGTTTGATTCTCATCTTTTAGTTGACTGTATATTTTATGTCACGGTAATTTATTTTTATTCTTATAAATAAGTATAATGAATGTTGTGATTGTATATATGTCAACGATAATTTATTTTTAATTATTTATTGTATTTTTTTTGTTTAATGTAGATGACGATATTTTTTTTATATGATATTGCAAATAAGTTGTAAATTGAATTTTGCAAAATGCTTTTCTTTAACAACTTCAATTTGAGAGGCTATACTTGTAGTTCAAAAATAACCCATGCAGTTGTAAATTGAAAGAGAATATCCACATACACAAACATTTAAATAACGAACTCAACTTCGCATGTAAAATAACTTGAAGTGACACTTATTGGATGGCCAACTCCCTTGTTGGTGTAAGAATTAGAACCTTAACAGCATGCCTATTTTTCGGACGATACAACAGTCACTCCAAGGTTGGTAGGACAAAAGAATTAAAAAAATTAAATAAATTTTATTTGAAAGAAAAAAGAATTAAAAAGAAATTTAAATAAATTGATAAAAAAAACAATTATTTATAAACTAAAATTTTCAATTTTAATTAAATAATATTTATATATTCTTCATTTAATTTTCATAACTTTATTTTATTTTTTTACTTCTAGATAATTTTAAACGAATTTTTTTACTTATATAAGTAATTTTTACATATATTAGAAATATTTTTTGTTAATATGTTTATTTTTAAATTTTTTTTTACTAAAAGTGAATTTTTTTACTTATATAAGTAATTTTTACATATATTAGAAATATTTTTTGTTAATATGTTTATTTTTAAATTTTTTTTTACTAAAAGTGAATTTTTTTACTTATAAAAGTGGTCAGCAGAGAGTAAGACGGGAGGTATGGAAAGTTGCGTATTACATAGATTCACATTGCCTCTCTTACAATATATATATAATATAATAATATAAGAAATGAGTTGATTTGAAAAGGCGTGACCATAGAGTATGAAAATGGAGAACGGAAACATAAAAAAAAAAATTTTGAATAATCGTTCGTGCACGGAGACCACACTATATATAAATTTTTTAATTCTTTTCTCTTCAATTTTTTTAACCTACAAATAACTTTTTCGTTAAAACTGAAAAATTAAATTTTATTTGGAAGAGAAAATAATTAAAAAGAAAAATAAAATTGATTTTTTTAAAGAAAAAAAGACTTATACGTATTTGTTAACACATACGTTTAATCTCCATTTAACTATTTTCGATATTTATTTATATCATTCGATATTTCTACGATATAGTTCTCAAAATGAGTTTCGAGAGAATGTAAAACATTTATCAATTCGACTATCGTACAATTGTCGATAGATTTTAAAAGTTAACTTGTTATCGAAAATTTCGAAATATAGTTTGAAAATGCCTACTTTGACGTTCTATAACATTTGCTACGATTGACCATTTCACGCACCGTTAACGACGTGCAATACTATGCCGTGAGTATTTCAAAACGATATTAAGAATGTAATATTTCAATTTCATTTGATATCCCGTAATGAGTTTAAAAATGAACACAAAAATATAAGTAAAATAAATAAATTCATCTCTCTCTATGCACGGAGTCTTTGAGCCTCCATGCACGGAGTCCTTTTTTTTTTTTTTAAATAAAAGTTAATACATCTTTATACTATATAAACTAACTACAATATATTATATATATATATATTATTTTTTTAAATTTTAAATTTTTTTACAACTTGAAGCAAACTTTTTAATAAGTAAATAAATATACTTAAAACTTTGAGTTAATATTATATATATATATTTTAGTTTTCTATATGTATAATAATGTAAAAAAAATATATATCCATGCACTCTATGTACGGAGGAACGCGTCGTTTTTCCTCTCCACTTGAAAAAAAATGAAATTTTAAATAATTGAAAAAAAAATTTACGTCATACCACATAATTTTTTTTGAGCAAAATGATGTATTTAGAAAAATGTTGCGAAAAAGTAATAAATAGTAATAAAAAAATTGATTTTTTTTAAGAAAAACGACTTATACGCATTTTTTAACACATACATTTAATGTCCGTTTAATTATTTTCGATATTTATTTAGATCATTCGATGTCTCTACGATATAGTTATGAAAATGAGTTTCGAGAGAATGTAAAACATTTATGATTCGAATATCGTACAATCGTCGAGGAATTTTTAATGTTAGCTTGTTATCGAAAATTTCGAAATAGTAATAAAATAATTGATTTTTTTTAAGAAAAAACGATTTATGCGTATTATTTAACACATACGTTTAATGTCCGTTCAACTATTTTTTATTTTTTATTTAGATCATTCAATGTCTCTACGATCATTTATAACGTAAAAATACAAAGTAAAAAAAAAAATAAATTCTCGAGTCTAAGTCTCTATTTGGAATTATTAAGAAAAAGAATTTTAAATTGGAAAAAAATTTATAATGTAAACAACACAAATATTAAACAAAACAAAAAAAAATTTACTCCGTGCACGAAAACAAAAAGTCTCCGTGCACAGGGACACACAAGTCTCGGAATGTCTCCATGCACGCTCCGTGCACGGAGGCAAAAAGTCTCGGAATTACATTCTTAAATAATTTTTTTTTTTACTTGAAAATTTTTTAATTTTTTTCTTTTCGTAATAAAACTTAATATTAACTTTAAAATATTTTATTATACTGTAATAAAACATAATCAAACGAAGTCGAAATATATAAAAAAATTTATTTTAAAATATTTTATTATACTGTAAGAAACTGCTGCAACACGTAATTTCCATACCTCCCACCACTCCATGCTCAACCACTCTTATATAGATATATATAATAGGAATATAAGAAAAAAATTACTTTTATACAAAAAGAATTTAAATTTTTTTTTACAAAAAGTTATTTTTAAGTAAAAAATTTGAAGAAAAAAAATTAAAAAGAATTTAAATTTTTGTTGTTCACATTATAATTTTTTTTTCAATTTATAATTCTTTTCTCTTAATTATTCCAAACAGAAACTTAGATTTGATAATTTTTTTGTGTAGTTTTACGTTATAAATAATAGTTTTTTCAATTTAGAATTTTTTTAAATTTTTTTCTTCAATTTTTTATTATTAATCAGTATTTTTTAATAGTTTGAGATAAATTTTAACTTTCTAGTAATAATTCAATATATAAAATGATGAAAAAAATACATTCACTCCGTGCATGGAGAAAAAAAATTTCGTTATACCACATAATTTTTTTGGAGCAAAATGATGCATTGAGAAAATTGTTGCGAAAAAAGAATAAATAGTAATAAAATAATTGATTTTTTAAAGAAAAATGACGTATACGCATTTTTAACACATACTTTTAATCTCCGTTTAACTATTTTCGATATTTATTTAGATCATCTGATATCTCTATGATATAGTTCTCAAAATGAGTTTCGAGAGAATGTAAAACATTTATCGATTCGACTATCGTACAATCGTCGACGAATTTTTAAAGTTAGCTTGTTATTGAAAATTTCGAAATAGTAATAAAATAATTGATTTTTTTAAAGAAAAAACGACTTATGCATATTTTTTAACACATACGTTTAATGTCCGTTTAACTATTTTTGATATTTATTTAGATCATTCAATGTCTCTACGATATAGTTTTCAAAATGAGTTTCAAGAGAATGTAAAACATTTATCGATTCGACTATCGTACAATCGTCAATAAATTTTTAAAGTTAGCTTGTTATCGAAAATTTCAAAATATAATTTGAAAATGCCTACTTAGATATCCCATAACATTTGCTACGATTGACCGTTTTACGCACCGTTAACGACGTGCAATACTATGCTGCGAGTACTTCAAAACGATATTAAGAATGTAATATTTCGACTTCGTTTGATATCCTGTAATGAGAAGAAAATATTTCTCACACGGAGAGCCATGGCCTCCGTGCACGGAATCCTTCCTAATTTTTTTTTGTTTCTTTCCACAGTCTCCGTGCATGGAGACTAATGTCTCCGTGCACGGAGAGATTAATTTTATTTTTTTTATGCTGTGTAATTTTACGTTATAATTTTTTTTTTCAATTTAAAATTCTCTTTAATTCTTTTCTCTTCAAATTTTTTACTTACAAGTAATATGTTGTAAAAAAATTTTTGTCGCATATTATCTCTATCTTTTTTTTTTTATTTATATAAAAGTGATTTTTTTCTTATATCCATACTATATATATCTATATCGGGGTGGGGGAGGAATGGAAATTGTGTGTTGCTGTAAATTTGGAGGTAGTGTATAATAAAATAAAATATATATCAAACAAACGGTATCGTTTTTGGCCCCCAATTGAAAAAAAAAAACAAAACAAAAATGTTACAGTAAAGATAGATCAAGACACTGTTGTTTTTTACAGTACCCTCACATTCCCCTTTTTATATAGTAGGGATATAAAACTTTTCTTATTTTTTCATAAATCTAAAATTTATTTTTCATACTCATTTTCAACCACATATTCATACAATAAAATATTTTTAACATAAATCTAAAACTTTTCTTATTTTTGACCATACATTTTACAACATTACTTTTCAAAACTATGTTTTTAAAATTTTTAAGGCCACCAAACAGGGCTTTGTAACTTAGTTCGAATGCAAAAGTTCACTTATAACTAATTTTTTTAAGCCTCCTGTTTAGCCCTCCCATAAAAATTATAATTCATTTTGCTTTATCTTTTTATCAATTACACATTTTTTAATAAAAATATAATTATACGTAACCTCAAAACTTTTTCTCTCTTTTTAATTACACATTCTTAAAAAAATTACTATTCAAAAATATATTTTTCTCATCAATGTAATAGGGACCAAACAAGCACTAAGTTACTTTTATGCTTAGACGACATAGATCCAGTCAGTTGCTAGCGGACAAAAATGATGACACAAATAAGGGATCGTTTGGCAAATCTTGAAAAATCAAAACTTATTTGTGAGACTAAGAAATTACTTTTGAACTTGTTTGATGATTTTTTTGAAAGTGATTCGTCTGGTTAGAAGGGTTTTTGGAAGAAACAGACTTAAAATAAATTTCTCAAAAAGTCCTTTTACAAGAAGCAAAAGTAAAAGTCTTAAAGTACATTTCCAGGAAGCTGATGAAGGAAATGCCAGTTTTTAACTGAAACAAAGACTAAACTCTCATAGGTGGATTAGTTCTCACGCTTTAACTTTTGGGGTATTTGAGCACTCATGTTGTCTTTTGATAGACAAGTTGCATAAACAAGTGCAAAAGGATTTATGCACTTTAAACAAGGCCAAGTCAAGAGATGGATTCCAACAATCAAGTCAAGTCTACAACATAACATTATTTTTTATGAGGAAAAGACTTGGAACTGAGATGTGTACATGTTAGGTGAGTAAACAACCATCATCTTCTGCATTTTTATATACTTTTAAGGAACATCAATCCTGCTTCCTTCCAACTTAACAGACTAATGACTTTCAACAACCCTTTGATACAATATAGCCATAAGTCTGATAGTCGAGTAGTTCGACATACAAAACTTGCATTATAAAGTTCCCGTATAGCTTGCAACGAAAATTTACAAGATTCAATGTGGATAAGCACAAGTAATTCAATTCAATTCGATCAATATAGGACATGAAGAATGTTTCATCTTGTTGATACTAGACAAAGACATGGAAACTAAAAGGAAATTCACTATACTATGAACATCTGCAAATTGGAAAGGTATTGAAAATATGTATCTAAAATATGAATTGAATCTTGATCAACTGAATCAGTTATATCAATGCATCACCTCATGGAAAATGTGGATTGAGTTAGTTTCTCAATCTGTGTAGTTTCTCAATCTGTGATAATCGGCTCCTCCTTAGGCTCATGCCAAGTCTCGAACCACCATTGACTGATTTTAACACCATCGTTTTCGCTTTCATCAATAGGAAGAGGTAAGTTAAGATCTAAATCGCCATCCATTGCCACAGATTCAATGGTTTTCTTACCGGTAAATTCAGTGTAATGAGCCCTCTTGTGACCACCCAAAGCTTGGCCAGATGAAAAGATCCTCAAGCATATTGGACACTGAAAACTTGCAATAACATTGCATTCGATCTTGGAATTAGCTTCAGCAACAGATAACGAGCAGGTGTCCACCTCGACTGAAGAGATACCGCCAAGCATTTTCAAGTCAAACTTCTCGTCAAAATCTGTTAACATTTTAGGATCATGACCACCAACTATTGTTGTGTCACAACAACTAAATTTCAACACATCATCTTCAGAAATTTCTGAATCAACTTTCATCTCAATTTGAGAGTCAAGAACGTGAGGATCGAGCTTTCCTACTGCTTTATCCATCTTATACACCTTATCTCCATCGAATGAGGAATCTCCACCATCATTCATTTCAATTTCTTTATCTTTACAAACTGATTCATCTCTAAAATATGCAGAATCATTACCAGTTGATTCTGTAATTGAATTAGACCTATCCCAATTCTTCACACCCCTAGACAGCATTAGCAAACACAGAGCCACCTCTTCTACTTCCCCAAATTCAACTCCACTAGATGATGGAGTAGGATCAATCTTATACAATATCTTCGATCGCTTTCTTCGAAGAGGACACAAATTACCCAAGTCTGATGAACCCTCAGGAGATTCATCAGTGACTCTTCTTGATTTGTTGGAGTGACTCTTCATATGACCAAACAGGGCTCTCATTGAGTCAAATCCTTTCCCACATTCCTTACAGTGATTCTGATTCTCCGTGGTTTTCTTGATTGAATGACATCTCATATGACCAGACAGAGCTCTCAAAGAGGGAAACACTTTGCCACATTCTTTACAAGTTCCATCCCTTGGTGTATCTCCATGTTTTGTATCAAAATTCTTCCAAGATTTTTTTGGATTCTCCCTTAATTCGTAGCTATTTTTCGGATCATCATCTCCCAAGCCTATATTGGTCCCACAATTCTTGATCTTTTCTTGATCTAGAAATTTACTGTTTGATTGATTCTTCGAGTTCTGAAAACTGCCCTCTTGATCATCGCCCCCTTCCAAATCCATTTGGCTGTCAAATTCCACTTCAGCTGCTCTTTTCATAGCTGAAATAAACGCTGAGTGAACCCTCATGTGACCTCCCAATGACTTACCACTCACGCAACTCTTGCTACATATCTTACAGACATGCCTCTGTTCTTGCACTTCCTCCATTGCTATTTGCTAAAAGCTAAAAATCAGATGAGCAAATTCAAGAAAAGTCAATTTTCCTAAAAAAGTAACGCTAAATCTAACATCCCATTAAGAGAAAAATACCCAAGATTCTATAGAAACAGAGAATCATTGAAAATTAGATCAGGAAAAGAAGAAAAAAAAACACGATGGATTAGCAAGAACGAGATCCGGTAATTGAAAAAGTGTTAAAAAGAACCCTCATGAAAGAATGGTCTGAACTCGATTGAACTTTTCATTTGCCCTAAGAAAAGTATCCAAGTGAAGAGATAAATGGCTGTTTGGCAGTGATGTATGCTCCGATAAAATAGGACACGTACTGAACACACACACACACACTCTCTCTCTAAAATCTTCAATATTGATGGTGGCTTTGGGCTTATGATGGAAGAGTTGGAGCCTTGCATGGAAGCAAAGAAATGACACGCGGACTAGTCATCACAGCCTGGAAATGAGAAAGTAATTTCATGATTTTGTATTTTGTGATAACTTTTTGTGATTGTAGAAGAGAAAAATTGATTTGGAATTAAAAGATTTGCTCAATGGTGGCGAGTGATTGGCGGCATAATACACACTGGAGACAGAGAGGGGGGAAATTGGTTTGGATTTATCTACAAATGTGTTTGCTTAACACTGGAGCCAACTGCCACAATTATCCAATTATTTTGCTTTGTGATCATGTACGGTCAGTTAGATTCGGGTCGTGAAAATGCGTTGGGTTGTTACGACTATAGTAGTTGTAAATAATATGGCTAGATTTCCTCGTCTACTAATATAAACTTACACGTTTTTTACCTTAACATAAAATTGCAACGAATCGAAGACCCAAGCCCAATTCACCAATCACAATATTTATATATATTCTTTTACAAAAATTATGAACAGTGCAGGACGGGACTGTCATACCTAATTAAGTTTACCTTTTATATGGTTAAACATTTTTAACCTCAAAATAGGATTATGACGAACCGAAGAACCAAGCCCAATTCACAAATTATCTGATCGTAGAATTTACAAGATATATGTTTTTCTTTTTTTTTAATAAGAAATTATGAACGGTGCAGGACGGGACAACTATCCCTAATTAAGTTTATCTTTCATATGGTGAAATTTTGTTTAATGTTATCTTGTACAAGAATAGGAAATTTGTATTTTTGTACCTCTAACCTTTACGAAATATGATAAATATATTCTCAATTTTTTAACATAATACATCCTCAACCTTTCAATTATGTAACCAAGCTATTCTTTCCCTCCATTATGACATGAAATGATGGATTTGTCATTCGCTTTAAATAAAGAAAAACTAAAGAATGTAATAAAACAACACAAAATAAATTTTTTTGCCTAATGGAGTCCATAGCGTTTTAAAAAGTACAAATAAATCCTACAAATTACATGAATTATCTCCAACTTCATGTGCTTTCAAGTTTGTATCACATAAACCAACACCACTATTTCCTTTTGCAGTTGGAGCCTAAGGCCCCATTTGGGAGCGATTTTGAGAATTGATTTTATGACTATTAGGAGAAAAGTAAGGACTACCTATGAGAGAAGAAGACAAACTTTACGGTTCGACTAATGAAATAACGTTCAAAAAATCAATTTTTTAGGGTGGAAAATCACTCTCAAACACCCTTTAACTAATATTCATAGAATCTATTAACACCACTTAATCACTCATTTAATTTAGACTTAAATGACTTTAATATACAGTATGAAGATATTAAGGTAGACAAACTATTAATTGCTATCAACATCTACTTCTACCCATAGTTGTTAAAATCGGACCATATCGACCAGCTCAACTAGAAAATCAGTGAATGGGACACTATTTTGATTTGGGTCGTGTCGATAGATCATTTTGCAAACAACTTAGTAGCAATTGAACCATTGACCATCGACCTATGGTTTAAACTATTCGTTTATTTAAATTTTTAATTCGACTTCGATGATTGTACCATTGAATCACTGACCGGTAACCCGATGATGTCATACATAATGAGGTCATTGATGAGTTCGAATTTGATAACTATGCATCTACTATTCAATGACTATATAGTCTATGGAAGTTATGCTATTAGATTATCAAAAAGGTAGGATTAAATTTGGGGTCAACCCGAATAAATTGCCAGTCGAGGAGTGGGTCTAGGTTCAAGAAAACGGGACTGTATTCCATAAACTAGCAAGATTAATAATTTTCAAAGAATCTCCAGTATATAAACCAACAAAAAACAAATTGGGTCCGCAAAGAAATCAAGTTGCCAACAGAAAACATTATGCTCCTAACTATAGACCATATAGTGACATTCGATGATCTTCGGACTATAAAGAGGAATATAAAAAATATCAGAAACTGATGAAAAAAATAGTAAAGAATTCAGCATGTGTCTCATAACTATGCTCTTTGGTCCTAACACGAGCAGCATTCAATCAAAGAGACGTGTTCATGCAACAGCAGGCATGTCCTTGAGCCAAGCATCCAGTGGCTTGCCAATGGAGTACACGATAAATCCAATTTCCCTTAGCTCAGCTGGATTGATAATGTTCCGACCATCAAAAATGAAGGCTGGTTTCTGCATGTTGTCATACATCTTCTGGAAATCGAGAGTTTTGAACTCGTCCCACTCAGTGAGAATACAAACAGCATGTGCATCCTTAGTTGCTTCATAGGCATCCCAAACGATACTAACTTGCTTCACTGTGGCGGGGCTCATCGGCTGAAGATGAAGGGGATGATCCCAATCAAACTTTTTCATGGAGAGGTCCCTCTGGATCTGATCCTCAGTAACCTGAGGATCGTAAATGCTCAAGCGGGCCTTGTCTCCCAAGAGTCCCTTGCAAACATCAATAGCAGGGGTTTCTCTGGTATCACCAGTATCCTTCTTGAAAGCAAATCCAAGGATAGCAACTTTCTTGTTAGCAACTGTGTTGAACATAGAGGCAACGACACGGTTGACAAAACGATTCTTCTGATAGTCATTAATCTTGATTACTTGTTTCCAGTATTCTGCAACTTCAGGAAGACCATTGCACTCACAAATGTAAACCAAGTTCAGAATGTCCTTCTGGAAGCAAGATCCACCGAAGCCAACACTAGCATTAAGGAACTTGGGACCAATTCTTGTGTCCGTACCAACAGCATATGACACTTGCGATACATCAGCTCCAGTAGCTTCACAGAGTGCAGACATGGCATTGACTGATGAGATTCTTTGAGCCAAGAATGCGTTGGCAGCAAGCTTCGAGAGCTCTGCAGACCATAAATTAGTGGTGAGAATGCGAACCTCAGGGACCCAGTGGGCGTAAACATCCTTCAGTGCTTTAACTGCCTTTAGACCATCTGGGGTTTCCCTGCCTCCAATGAGAACTCTATCAGGGTTGAAAAGATCTTTAATTGCAGTTCCCTCGGCAAGAAATTCTGGGTTAGAGAGAATCTGAAAGTTGATTCCCTTGCTGTTGTGGGTCAAAATTTTTTCTATTGCCTCAGCAGTTTTGACTGGAACTGTTGACTTCTCGACCACAATTTTGTCAGATTTTGACACATCGGCAATCATGCGAGCTGCACTTTCCCAGTATGTCAAATCTGCAGCTTTACCTGCTCCAAGACCCCGAGTCTTGGTGGGAGTATTAACTGAAACAAAGACAATATCAGCCTCAGCAACGTGCTTCTCCACATTTGTGCTGAAGAAGAGGTTCCTGCCCTTGCACTGCTTCACAACATCATCAAGGCCTGGCTCATAAATGGGGAGCTGATCACTGTTCCAGGCATTGATACGAGGAACAGAAATATCAACAACGACAACTTCAATATTAGGGCATTTAAGTGCTATTACAGCCATGGTAGGGCCTCCAACATACCCAGCGCCAATACAGCAAATTTTCACCATTTTCCCCCCTGTTTCAGGAAGATTTCTCAGATCATGCTTAACAAACACAATGTGATTCATAATGTGGGGAACATTTATTTAACCACCACGGTATTATACTATTGAATTTCACAGGCAGCTTTTGGCACTTCTACCCTAATATGAAACTTTAATTTAATATCATCTTTAGACACTACCGAACCATCCATTAACCCAGCAATCATTGCACCATAAACTAGGCAGCAGTATCTTACTTATAAAACTTAAACTAAAATGTATGTAACTTTATGGGAAAGGACGTGCCTATCATTTTGCACAAGTAATGTTTTGGTTGTATTACCCTCATAACAGGATCATGACAATTCACAAGATACCCTTGAAAATTTAATCCTATTGAGGATTGGATAAAATTAAAATGCGGATATCAGTAATAGAGTTGTTTTGTAAAAAGGATTCAATCATTCTAAACTCTAATAGAAAGGGGAAGAATTGAGTGGCCCATTTTCACACCATAACATATTTTGTGCATAAATCCAAAACATTTTCCCACTTTTTAACTCCATATTCTCCAAAAATCACTATTCAAAACATAGTTTTTACACAATAATCACCACCAAACAGGGGCTAAGCAGTTAATATGGTAAGAATTTTGTGGGCAGAAGATTCGGTCCCAAGTCTTAAGACTCAAGCCCCAAAAATCCACACATAAAACACGAATACTTTGGAATTAGATCTGAGGCGTACACATGGAACAAGAACTGGTAAAATCATAAAAATTTCTAAATTCTCATTAAAAGTATAACAATTTAGGAATTATACCCGAAGAAGTAATGTATTTAGCAAATTTACAATAATTCTGAGCAGATCTCACAAGACCACTGCGCATCCACTGCGCATATTGACATGCAATGATCTCTAAAGACGATACAACTTAAGTCAACCCTCAACCAGCATAAATTCAGAGAAACACTAGAATCAGGAAGTGTTTGTAGATCAAAACAATCACATAATACTTTCAGTTACGCAACAAAAAAGAGATCAAATCAATTAATCTAAAATCACTAAGATCAAATCAAATATGCTGACAATTCCAATTCAAAATTCTAAACCAACACATCACCAAATCAATTCATTCACATGACAAACACCGAAATTCACAATACGAAATCAAAAAATGTTTTACCTCTTCGATTGCACCTTCTGATTTCCAAAAAACCGACCTGTGAGGTGAAATGCGTTAGTGAAAAGTATACGAAAGCTGAGAAAGCGGGCACCCGTTTATATAGTCGTTGGGATCCAAGATCTACCCGCAGAAATGACAATAAAATCCCTATTTGGTACAGATTTGGCGAGGGCTAAAATGTGAAATAAATGAAAATAAAAATTGACTGTAACTTTGGTAGTGGGGAAGAAATGGTATAGTTTTCGACGCGTTTTGACTGCACCGCCACTGTCAAGCTGGCAGGATAATGCGGGTGTACCGTGTCCTTCCCGGTTGGTGCCCAAATTTTTGTCTCGAACCGCCCGGACGTTGGAATGTAATCCAACGGCTCCTCGAGCCTTTGTTTGTTTGTTTTCATTTTTCATTTTTGATTTTTATTTTTTCCCCACAAGGTTAATAGACAATAATTTAATCAACAAAGGTAGGTTTTTTCAATCCACAATAACCTCGTGTTGTAATGTTATTTTTGTTTATGAACTTAGATATTGTCACGTTTTTAACGAGTTGGTCACGAATTGATGAAAATAAAATTTAAATAATTAATTACAAGACATAAGATCCGAGTTCAATTCTTATTAACATCTATTTATGCAAATTGTGCATGTTTCAGATATTTTTATCGATCTAGTGAATATATTTTGCAGATAGATAAACGTGTTAAAAACAATAATTAAAAATAAATTATAGGTCCTTATACACTTATAGACATGGTTGAATTTAATACTAGCCAAAACGCTGTGACCTCATAATTATTAAACTCACTTTGTCAAAACAATGTATCATTGATCACCAATTTAATGACTGAATACACGTAAAAATATTATGTAAGCAGAGAAATGAGAGACACCAACAACGTGCTATACAAATTTTGCCTCATTGTATGAGGTGTGATAAGAATATCATACTAATTATTAATTCGCTTAACAAAATCTTTTATCTCCAAAAATCATTTATGGAGTATTTCCTCGTTAAAAGCTATTTTTTTAAAAATTTCTACCTCGTTTCCATAGTCGTGGTCCTAAATACCAGTTTCTCGTAGTTGAAGGGGTCTAAATGAAAATCAGCGCAATTTGTTTCAATAAACTCAATAAGCCCACCGCGCACAATGCTAATCAATCGAGCGTCAAAACACACTCTCTCTCCTCTCTCTTTGTAAGCAGAAATCTAACGATCCACAATCATAGAATCATTCAAACGATATCCGACGCTCCAAAACCCAGTCCCGCAAACTAGCCGTTACCAATCGAGCGTCAAAAACTCAACGGTCATCTATTTCCCTTTCATTCCATCAATTAATGAAACCTCTTATCGTGAAAACAGACTCAATATCATTACAATTTTGTTGTTTGAATTGTTTCCCTCTCTAGAAATCATAGTCTCATCTTTGTCCGGCGAGATTGCTAATGGATTCAGGTTCTAAAACCGCCGGAGCAAATACGCCTGCAAAAGAATCAAACCGATCAAAATTTAACGAAATATCAAAACAATTAGAAAATTTCAATCCCAATGTGTCGTCTGCAGGTTTTAAATCATCTAATTCTCCATGCATAAAGTCTGCAAAAAGTGTCCGCTCCCAAAAATCTACTTCCAGAAATCCTAACCCTACTGGTAGTAGCCAAGTGGCGTCACCTTCACCGGTGAAGAAAATTCGGCAGAGGAAGTTCTTGATTGCAAAGAAGAAATCGGAAAAGGGGGAAGTGAATTCTTCGACTGCAGCATCAGTGGAATGTAACAAGTGTAAGAAGAAGACGGGAAAATCCAAGTGTTTGTGTGTAGCCTATGAGAGCCTGAGGGCTTCTCAGGAAGGGTTCTTCAAGAATAGCAGTAAAATTGATGATAAGGTCGATTTGGAGAAGTTATGTGATTATGATACTGCGAATGGGGAGAGTGGAGTTATCCCTATAAGCCAAAAACCTGAGACTGCCAAAGGATTTTGTAGCAGAGTGGAGGGAAATGATGATTTATGTGAGATTAATGAGAAGAGTAAGGATGACATAGTTGAGGTTGAGGTGAATGGTGAAACTGGCACTAAGAGAAGCCGGGGGAGGCAGTTAAAAGAGGGTAGAGAGTGTGCACCGGTGCCGAGGTCTGGCAAGGTGATGCATTTGGTGAAGGCATTTGAGGAACTTCTATCAATTCCAAAATCAAGCAATTCTGAGGAAAAGGAGGTGGACGAAGTGGAGAATATTAATGCGGAAATGAGAAAACCTATTGAGGTTGCTGAAAAACAGGTTTCTCCATCTTCATTTAGTCCCTCTGATGTTTTCCTCACACTGGAGAGCTTAGGTTTAGATTCAGTTTCACACCGTTCTTCTTCACTAGATAGCAGCCAAGGAAGGTTAGTTAGGTTAACAGTTACTGTGTTGATTTTTGACATAATCAAACAATTGTAAATGGGCTTATGTTGTTTCTAAATTTGTTCATTCTACAACTTTGATGCCTCAGCATTTCAAGTAAAACTTCTGCTGGTGGTCGAAGAAGCAGAAGAAAAGTGAGAATTTTTATCCATATTTCTCTTTCTTTGAGTAAAATTGCTCCTCATTTAGATTATCATATCTGTTTTTTTGAATTCTGCAGAGCTTCGAATCGTCTGGAACCTCTGGAATAAGACATGGGAGAAGGCAGCTTAAAGCAACCTCTCAAAAGCCCTTCATGCTAAAAACAGAGGTGTGTGTTGCAACTCCAATTTGAGTGGCACTAGATGCTAAGTTAAATAAAAGATAAAATTAAATATGTTATTTAATTCTACCTATCAATTAATGCCACGTTAATGTCACATAAACTGGGGCTGCAACTATTAGCACTACTCTTAAAAATTATATGCCCTTTTCAAACCTCCAAATGAAAGTTCAATGGTGTCACAGCCATGAATTAAAAGTTCAATAACCTGATTTTAAGTAAAGTTAAAATTCAGTAACCACGAATAAACTCTACTTTGCTGACTTTACAATCTGACTCCAGATGAGCATTACTTGGCTGATTATTACAGTTTAATATAGCAGCAACATTAGGATAGTTGCAAAAATGTCAATCAAGTTTACATTTTTGTCTAACCACTTTTAGCCCCCATTAAATTACATTCTATTTTTCTCTCTCTTATTTTTAACCACACAATCTTCCATAAAATAATATTATGCGTAAATCGAAAACTTTTCCTTCTTTTTCAACCACTCATTTTTCAAAGAAATACTATTCCACCCATTTTCATTACCCAAAAATGGGGGCCAAACGGGGGCTTAGATAGGGGACAAACTTATTCATTTAAATCATGTCTTCAGTGTGCCCCTTCACATGCTTAGTTCAAGGTAGACATTGAAAGGTTTTTATAATAGTGGGACAGGCGATTTCATAAATGGCTATCTGTAGAATTAGGATGCAACACGCTAGATACCCTGCCACTCTTAAACAAGTTTTATGAAATTCATAACACCAGCCTGCATTTTCAAGCCAATGTATATCTAAATTAGCCTGATGGTAAAGCCATTATTTGAATGGTCTAATAAAGTTGGGAAAGATATTGTTCTATATTGAAATAGAGAAAATAATGTAAGCCTATGGATGTAAGATATAGTAGTAAGTCATTCATTTTGAAGCCATTATAAATAGTATAACAAAGTTGGGAATGGGATTATTTAAACATAAAACTCTTACAGATAAGAAACTATTTCAACTGTGCAAGTTTAAAGGGCAAGTTGAGAGAAACACTAGATAATGGAACATAAACACTTATTTAAGGTAGAGTTGGAGCCTAAAGAAAATGCATTCAGCACAACTGAAATAAATATAGACTACTACAATAACGAAGCAGGGTCGAACTCCTAGAGGTGTCGACTGTTTGGGACTTTACATTTACTCGAATTTTGAAATTACATAAATTGCACCTACTGCAGCAAAGAGGAAGATGCAAGGAGGAAGAATTCATGAAAAAGGTGCAAGAAATAATGGAGGAAGAGGAGAAGTTGCGGATACCAGTTGCTCAAGGTCTTCCATGGACAACAGATCAACCAGAGGTAACTTTATAACCCGGAGAAAAGAATTCTCAATTCTATTTCGGAAATATTAGGAATCGAGATTAGTATGGAATTTTTTTGTCAAGTTAACAGGCCTAGTAATTTTGAATTCTTTTCTGATGTTTAGATCTTCTTTCATTTCTCCCCCTTTTAGGGCCAAATTCTAATATTCATGTTAATATTAATTCTCTACCAAAGTTTGGAGACAAATAGATATTCAGGCAAACCAGATTTTTATGACTTCTAATCATCATTTTCAGCAAGTTTTTTGTTTGGAAATGAAGGCAAAGTCATTACAAAAGAATGTAGTAACTTAACATTGAAGGAATTTTGTTTTGGTGTCTTCAACAGTTAATCATGGACTTCTCATCCAACGAAAATTTGAGGCCTGACTAGTTGCCAATTGACGTAATGAAAAGGCTACCATTTTTTGTTGTTTCCCCATGTCAATCGATTGTTAAGAAACTCGCAGATTTGCATTTTTCACTAACCACAACCTAGGTTTGAAGCTTAATGAAAACTTTTGTGTAGTGTAGCTGTGTAATAATGTATGCAGAAATGTGAGGATCATTATCTTGTGATCCTTAGCTTAGTAGACATGATACTTCTTACAAGTAATTATTCTTAAGAACCTTTTGTAACTTCCCAGTAGAATTCATATCAAAATTCAGCACACTGTTTTTGGCAGTTGGTCCTCCAAGGTTTAGAACAATATGATACAATTGTTAGGTAACATGATGCTGGTCTTTGGTAAAAAGGTCAGTGCTAATTTCAAATGTTTTTGACCTTCTGGTGGTTAAGTACCTAAATGCATACCAAACATTCATTTTGTATCAAGATTTGACTGAATTGTCTTAACTTGTGATGTCTCAGTTTTTGGTGAAGCCATTAGTCAAAGATAATACAAGGCCTGTTGATCTCAAGCTACACAGCGACCTTAGAGCTGTTGAACGTGCTGAGTTTGATCATCAGGTACATTTTTCCCTTCTTGACTAAGCTTGGTTACTTTCATTCTCATATTGTGACATTACTTTGTTTCTTTGCATCTGTTTAGGTGGCCGATAAGATGAGCCTTATTGAACAATTCAAGATGGAAAGAGAGAGACAGCGAAAGGTAAACTAAAAATTTTGAGACTAAACTTACAATTGATTCTTATGTTGTATTTTTCTAAACGACGGTGTTGGCAGTTGGCTGAAGAAGAAGAAATTAGGAGGCTGAGGAAGGAACTCGTTCCTAATGCTCAACCGATGCCATATTTTGACAGGCCATTCTTCCCTAGAAGGCAATGTGACCTTGTTCTTTCATCGATGTGCATTTATTCTAAACTAAACTGAATACTGAATTCTGAAGTAGTCATCTTTGTTGTATCAGGTCGGTGAAGCATCTAACTAACAAGTCTATGGAGCCAAAGGCGAATGCATAAAGGCGAGAAGATCAAGAGTTGGATGTTTCAAATAACTTGTTTGTATAAACACAGCTGCAGTGAACAATGGGCATTGTGAAGTTGAGATTTTAGTTTGTTTAACGACGATTAATGACACAATTTGTTACAAATCTATAAATATGTCAAAATTAATTTTGAAAAACAGTGCATTTTCTCAAATTTTTTAAATATTTATATGTTTATTGTTAACAGTTTGACCCGAGTTACCATCAAGTAAGATAACATTCATCTAGTTGAAAACTTTAAAATTGTCTAGGTTTTGAAAATTTTAAAATTGTCTATTTGTTAAAATTAATTAGTAATTGTAGTGTTTATATGATTTTAGTTATTTCGTATGCATTATTTTATTTAATTTGTTAAATACTTTTGATACTTCTAAAAATTGAGTAATCTATGTCGTTTTACTGAAGTTGCAACTCCAATTTGAGTGGCACTAGATGCTAAGTTAAATAAAAGATAAAATTAAATATGTTATTTAATTCTACCTATCAATTAATGCCACGTTAATGTCACATAAACTGGGGCTGCAACTATTAGCACTACTCTTAAAAATTATATGCCCTTTTCAAACCTCCAAATGAAAGTTCAATGGTGTCACAGCCATGAATTAAAAGTTCAATAACCTGATTTTAAGTAAAGTTAAAATTCAGTAACCACGAATAAACTCTACTTTGCTGACTTTACATGATGCATGAAGATTTTGTCACCATCAACACCAATTCTTTTCAGCAGTTGAAAGAAAGGCTAATGGAATAACCTAATTGCTCCCACAATGAAATTTACCCACTTAGTGTCATGTTACTGAGATATATTAAGGCTTCATTATCACAAACTTTTTGAATTACAAGTTGATGTAACACATGAAATGTATACTTAAAAAGTTTAAAAAAAATCGTAAATCCAGTAAAATATGTGATAATAAAACAAAGATTGATATCTCCAATGCAAAAATATGCATTATTGTACATGTGACAAGTAAATCATAAGACTCAGAGACATCTCCAATGGGAGTGTGAATTGCACTACTTGAGAATAAATTCTTTGAGAGGATGTGGAAAAAGGGTGACGCATCCTACACCGTTCAAGCAAGCATTCTGAGGTGATGTACACTTCTTACCTCAATCCACTGCCCCATATCAAAACAAAACTCACTTATCCAACTCGGGCAAAATTTAAATAGCAAAAATTACTGAAGTCAGAAACATAGTAACCGTGCTGACATTTGCAACCACAAAATGTTAGAAGATCGCTGCTTAGCAAAATGCTTTACAGAAAGTGAAAACACAAGCCTCCATAATCAATGAACAACCTATCAAGGTGCAACTACAACAATTCTTCCTGCAACTTGATCAAGATCCCGCCGGCCACTGGATGTGATTTTTCTACCACTGTAAAAGGAATAGCAATTCGTATGAGAATAGAACCGACAATATTCACAACATATCTTGAAAAAGAGTGAGTATATAATCAAAGGAAAAGGAACTCCTAAAGACACATACTTCCCGATTACAAACAGAGTGAAATATTGGATTGATAAAATATACTGTACTGGTGCACATAAAGACCAACAAACAAATTGCATTCAGCACAACTGAAATAAATATAGACTACTACAATAACGAAGCAGGGTCGAACTCCTAGAGGTGTCGACTGTTTGGGACTTTACATTTACTCGAATTTTGAAATTACATAAATTGCACCTACTGCAGCAAAGAGGAAGATGCAAGGAGGAAGAATTCATGAAAAAGGTGCAAGAAATAATGGAGGAAGAGGAGAAGTTGCGGATACCAGTTGCTCAAGGTCTTCCATGGACAACAGATCAACCAGAGGTAACTTTATAACCCGGAGAAAAGAATTCTCAATTCTATTTCGGAAATATTAGGAATCGAGATTAGTATGGAATTTTTTTGTCAAGTTAACAGGCCTAGTAATTTTGAATTCTTTTCCGATGTTTAGATCTTCTTTCATTTCTCCCCCTTTTAGGGCCAAATTCTAATATTCATGTTAATATTAATTCTCTACCAAAGTTTGGAGACAAATAGATATTCAGGCAAACCAGATTTTTATGACTTCTAATCATCATTTTCAGCAAGTTTTTTGTTTGGAAATGAAGGCAAAGTCATTACAAAAGAATGTAGTAACTTAACATTGAAGGAATTTTGTTTTGGTGTCTTCAACAGTTAATCATGGACTTCTCATCCAACGAAAATTTGAGGCCTGACTAGTTGCCAATTGACGTAATGAAAAGGCTACCATTTTTTGTTGTTTCCCCATGTCAATCGATTGTTAAGAAACTCGCAGATTTGCATTTTTCACTAACCACAACCTAGGTTTGAAGCTTAATGAAAACTTTTGTGTAGTGTAGCTGTGTAATAATGTATGCAGAAATGTGAGGATCATTATCTTGTAATCCTTAGCTTAGTAGACATGATACTTCTTACAAGTAATTATTATTAGGAACCTTTTGTAACTTCCCAGTAGAATTCATATCAAAATTCAGCACACTGTTTTTGGCAGTTGGTCCTCCAAGGTTTAGAACAATATGATACAATTGTTAGGTAACATGATGCTGGTCTTTGGTAAAAAAGTCAGTGCTAATTTCAAATGTTTTTGACCTTCTGGTGGTTAAGTACCTAAATGCATACCAAACATTCATTTTGTATCAAGATTTGACTGAATTGTTTTAACCCGTGATGTCTCAGTTTTTGGTGAAGCCATTAGTCAAAGATAATACAAGGCCTGTTGATCTCATGCTACACAGCGACATTAGAGCTGTTGAACGTGCTGAGTTTGATCATCAGGTACATTTTTCCCTTCTTGACTAAGCTTGGTTACTTTCATTCTCATATTGTGACATTACTTTGTTTCTTTGCATCTGTTTAGGTGGCCGATAAGATGAGCCTTATTGAACAATTCAAGATGGAAAGAGAGAGACAGCGAAAGGTAAACTAAAAATTTTGAGACTAAACTTACAATTGATTCTTATGTTGTATTTTTCTAAACGACGGTGTTGGCAGTTGGCTGAAGAAGAAGAAATTAGGAGGCTGAGGAAGGAACTCGTTCCTAAAGCTCAACCGATGCCATATTTTGACAGGCCATTCTTCCCTAGAAGGCAATGTGACCTTGTTCTTTCATCGATGTGCATTTATTCTAAACTAAACTGAATACTGAATTCTGAAGTAGTCATCTTTGTTGTATCAGGTCGGTGAAGCATCTAACTAACAAGTCTATGGAGCCAAAGGCGAATGCATAAAGGCGAGAAGATCAAGAGTTGGATGTTTCAAATAACTTGTTTGTATAAACACAGCTGCAGTGAACAATGGGCATTGTGAAGTTGAGATTTTAGTTTGTTTAACGACGATTAATGACACAATTTGTTACAAATCTATAAATATGTCAAAATTAATTTTGAAAAACAGTGCATTTTCTCAAATTTTTTAAATATTTATATGTTTATTGTTAACAGTTTGACCCGAGTTACCATCAAGTAAGATAACATTCATCTAGTTGAAAACTTTAAAATTGTCTAGGTTTTGAAAATTTTAAAATTGTCTATTTGTTAAAATTAATTAGTAATTGTAGTGTTTATATGATTTTAGTTATTTCGTATGCATTATTTTATTTAATTTGTTAAATACTTTTGATACTTCTAAAAATTGAGTAATCTATGTCGTTTTACTGAAGTTGCAACTCCAATTTGAGTGGCACTAGATGCTAAGTTAAATAAAAGATAAAATTAAATATGTTATTTAATTCTACCTATCAATTAATGCCACGTTAATGTCACATAAACTGGGGCTGCAACTATTAGCACTACTCTTAAAAATTATATGCCCTTTTCAAACCTCCAAATGAAAGTTCAATGGTGTCACAGCCATGAATTAAAAGTTCAATAACCTGATTTTAAGTAAAGTTAAAATTCAGTAACCACGAATAAACTCTACTTTGCTGACTTTACATGATGCATGAAGATTTTGTCACCATCAACACCAATTCTTTTCAGCAGTTGAAAGAAAGGCTAATGGAATAACCTAATTGCTCCCACAATGAAATTTACCCACTTAGTGTCATGTTACTGAGATATATTAAGGCTTCATTATCACAAACTTTTTGAATTACAAGTTGATGGAACACATGAAATGTATAATTAAAAAGTTAATAAAAAATCGTAAATCCAATAAAATATGTGATAATAAAACAAAGATTGATATCTCCAATGCAGCAATATGCATTATTGTACATGTGACAAGTAAATCATAAGACTCAGAGACGAGCATCTCCAATGGGAGTGTGAATTGCACTACTTGTGAATAAATTCTTTGAGAGGATGTGGAAAAAGGGTGACGCATCCTACACCGTTCAAGCAAGCATTCTGAGGTGATGTACACTTCTTACCTCAATCCACTGCCCCATATCAAAACAAAACTCACTTATCCAACTCGGGCAAAATTTAAATAGCAAAAATTACTGAAGTCAGAAACATAGTAACCGTGCTGACATTTGCAACCACAAAATGTTAGAAGATCGCTGCTTAGCAAAATGCTTTACAGAAAGTGAAAACACAAGCCTCCATAATCAATGAACAACCTATCAAGGTGCAACTACAACAATTCTTCCTGCAACTTGATCAAGATCCCGCCGGCCACTGGATGTGATTTTTCTACCACTGTAAAAGGAATAGCAATTCGTATGAGAATAGAACCGACAATATTCACAACATATCTTGAAAAAGAGTGAGTATATAATCAAAGGAAAAGGAACTCCTAAAGACACATACTTCCCGATTACAAACAGAGTGAAATATTGGATTGATAAAATATACTGTACTGGTGCACATAAAGACCAACAAACAAATTCTCGCATCCCCCATCCAATTGTGAATGGGAATATCTCACTATTCACTAATGAACACGGGTTTGATTTTGTGACAGTAAATCATTAAAGCACAATATTTTATTCCATGAACCAAAATATTAAACTTACCCGCTTGTATCAATGTCAATGATGTTCATAGTCTGCAACTGTTGAAGGATGTGGCGAGCAACAGAACCACTGCTTTTGCCGAAATGGGGTGGACGGCTTCCATTCCTCTTGCTCCCACCATAAATCCTGCGGAAGGCACCAACACCTATACCTCCCCTCAAATATATTTTCCTAGCCATGGAAGCTGCAACACACAACAGGACTAGGTTATATACAAACCTGGCAAAAATGCCAACCAAGAATATGACCAGATTATCAATATGATAACTTAAGGGGGGAAAATACCTCTCTCAACATATTAACAATTTAAGCTTTGTCAAAATAAGAATTTCCAGGCATGCAATAATCTTTATTTGGATCTTCATCTCGAAGGATAAACAAACTACTAGTTTGAGCCTCATTTTTTGAGAGAATAGATTTTGTAATTGTAATAGTGATTTTTCTGGAAAGTTATTAAAAAGTAAGAAGTAAGTCTTGGGTTTAGTAGTAAAATAATTTTTTGGAAGAAACTGTGTGCTTGAAAATCAGTTTGGAAAAAAATGATTTTTTATAGAATGTGGCATAATTTTCATTGCAAAAAATTTTGAGGCCTTTATTCCAATCCTTTCCAAGGTGCAATTAGAACCATGGACAGCGAGACAATCTAAGCAGCTGGACACACCGTGAACAAGATGAATGAGAGAGAGAGAGAGAGAGAGAGAGAGAGAGAGAGAGAGAGTGTTACCAGCCCTAATGTAGTACCAGTCAGGATCATAAGGAGCAAGTTCTTTCAGCACACCAGTTTTCACAATATCGGTCCACTCTGGAAGCTCCATCTATATTTCAGAAAGAATAGATAATCTAAGAAATTGATCTAAAAGCAATTAATGGTTACAAATATACATTTGTCTTTATAAAAAGAAAAACACAGGAACCAAACAATATGAGGTGTTCTGCTTAATATGCTTGAATTGGTAGAGAGCGTCCTAAGATCAAGTAGTTATCCATAAAAAAAATGTCATATCTTTGTCCAATGAGACTATTCTAACAGCATATCTGACTAAGCTTTTGTACTAAATCTAAAATTTTTTTAAAAAAATTAACCTTTTAAAATCTGAAATGTGCTTGGCCTAACAAATGACTTTTAATCTTAGTCAAACATGCTAGTGTAGATTAAGTGTCATATGTTAAGTAAGTCCATTGTTTGATGTTTTTCCTTCTCTTTTCAGCTAGTTCCTTTGCATTTCTACTTTTATAGGTGAACAGAAGAATTCTGTTTAATCATCTCCTGATTTTCTTATTCCCAGATGATTCTAAATTGAAAATTTACATACTACCATGTTGATATAAAACTTCCAAGCACATGACAAATTAATATCCTTTGTATGTGCATCATAATGGGAATTCAAACAACAAATCAACAACACATTCGCACAACATATCAACGAAAGATATGGACTTTCCATATGGCATTGCTCAAACCTATTCAAAACGTATTATCCTGCGCTATTTTCCATTTTAGACCTCCTAAACATCAACATGGCTTCTCATTATTTCTAGAATCAAATATAAAAAATTTCGGAAACAGCGTACATAACAGTTGCATACACTCACAATACAATTACACAGAAAACAAGTCTAAAAATAGAAAAATAAATCGGCGCGAATAAATATCAAATACAATTGCACAAAATACCTTGCCGGAGCGCTTCAGGTGAGCGGCGTAGGCCTTCACGAACTCGTGTGGAGAGACGTCCTTCACAGTTTTAGCAGTCGCCATTGATGCAGCAGATCTCGAATCACAGTAGCTCCCAAGACCACTTCCCTATAAACGATGGTTTTTAAGCTAGTTAGGGTTTTGCTGAATGGTTGTGTGATTTAAATACGGTATTCTTGATGGCCCGTTAATGGTTTCTTTTACAAGTGGGCTTTGGCCCGTTTTGTCCGATAACTCAAAATTGCTGACCCATTACTTCTTGTGGACCCAGTATTTTCTTATTTTATTTTAGTTTCATTCAAGGGTTTAAAAGATGGTTAATGAAAGTTTAAAATTTTTGTACCACAAATAAATGTTCTATCTACTTCTAGGGCCTGTCTAAGAGAGCTTTTCTCCCGATTTGAGCAATTAATTGACCGTTACTCATTTCAAAATGGGTCCCAGTTTGATAGCAAAATTTGATGATGTTATAAATGAAATACTGAAAATGCCTGTCTCGTATGCAAAATTAATTTAATGTTAAGGGCAAAAAGATTGTTCTGACATAAAATGATCCAAAATTGCAGCTACAATGTCTAAATTCTGTAGCAGCCGTACTGCCTTGGTGAAAAGCAATGGTCCAAAATTTAGTTATCAATGGTCGAAATTGCAATTTTAAGTGCGCCCAGATAGAGTTCTATTCTAATATTCCACCTATTTGTAGCAGACAATCAGTGCATGAAGATGCGGGATGTTTCACATAAAGAAGTGACAAACATTCAAAATTCTCAGAAATATTTTGCTCGAGTATATTGAGTGCTACAAGTAGCCTCTTTGTTACATTGCTCGAAGCATTTTATTTTTTGCTCGCTTTTCCCACGTCGCTTATATATTGAATTTCTATCTTGTTCGAACTGTCAATTAACACTAAACACGTATCTTTTCTTACTTTATAATTAAACAAAATTATGTCTGGCATTGTATGTCAAAACCAGAACCGTTATAGTTGTCCTATTTGAATTAACATATATAATTAGCCCTGGTTTGTCACCCATTATTCAACAAATTAAAGAGTTTTGAATAGTATGTGCTGAAGAATATGTGGTTAAAAGTTAAAAAAAATTATTGATTTATTTGTAAAATATTTTATTACGTAAATATATGATAGAGAATAAAACTGTAACAAATAATTTATTTAAAATCTTAAAGTCCGTGAAACATGCCTTAATTTTCACAAGAAATTGATATGGTACGTTGAAAGAGGCAATTTGGTAATTTAAGGAATCAATATAAGTAGCAAGTACTAATTAAAACGTCGTTGAACTTCAACGCAGATAATTTTGCTGTATAGGCGTATAGGGTTTCCAATTGATTTCACCCCATCCTGCCGTCTTTATTTACTCAATCGAACAGGTACATATTATTTCTGATAGTACACTCATTTTATTATTGTTCAATTCAAGCGTTTATATAGTTTGCTCCACGGTTTTGACAAGAAAAGGGTTTTTTGAAATGTGAGAAGAAGAATAATTTGATACAATTAAAATTCACGCCTTGGGTTTCACCTCTATGAATATTTTTATTTATGTATGGCTTGAATTCGTCTAATTCAATGTTTTGCAGTGTTATCAGTTGCGTGGGTTTGGGTGTGGGCAGTATATTCCTAACTATATTGTTTTCTTTTAGCATTTTTTTTTTCAGTTTCTAAAAATTCTGTAATTTTTTTCTCGCATCTGAATTCCCAAAGGTAAAAAAAAAAAATTGCCTTTTTGGTATCTCTGTGATAACCCGATTCATTTTTGTAGTCATAATGTTTTAATTACATTAAATACAGATGAGCCAGCCAGAGCATCATTCAACAGATGCAAGTAAGTTCTTTTACCTAAAATTTTATAAAATTGTTAGATTCAGGTCTTCAAGATTGCCAAAGTAGCTGATGAACATGTTTTTGTTTAGAGTAACTTAGAACTGATTATTTTTCTTCAGTAATCAGTCAGGTTCAGTTTAATATCTCCCAGAAGAGCTTGCTATATGAATATTAATTTAGTAACTTAATTGCTGTTTTTATTGTGTGAGAAGAGCATGCCAAAGGAACCGAAGTTTTTGTTGGGGGATTGCCCTCTACAGTATCTGAAGACAAAATCAGCAAGGTCTAATTTCTCTCTCTTCCTTCATCTTGTATTGGCAGCTATATATTGTAGAGTGTTACAGGTAAACAATCCTTTTATGTAGTGTGAAGGAAGCATAAGCAAATTGATTAAGTAAAGAAGATCAGAAAAGGAAAGAACTAGGTCTTCTTAGGCGAACGATCTCTTTTAGCCTCTTGTTAGCTATCTCTTTTAGAACTTGGTATTTGGGCTGCGCTTTGGACCATATAAATGAATTCATTGAAATGGCAGACAATACAATTTGTCTTGTCTATGGCTCATATTGGCTGGCAACATTGCTTCAACATTACTTTAAAACAATTGGCTGAGAGCCAAATAAATTATTACGGGGTTTTTTGCCATGTTAGATGTCTCTCTGAATTCGTAATTTGACTTTCTGTGTACCTATCGACTAGGCAAAATGGGCGCTGTTCGTCATTTATCAACAAATGTTTCCATAACTGTCAAGTTTCAAATCGTTGCACATGTTAGTTATGATTATGTAAAGAACTTCCATTATCCATGCATGCTTCATAAATTATGGAAAAAACTTCAAAGTCTAGATATATTCAAATATTTGCTGAAACTTCCACCTATTCAGGTATTCTCTGGTTGTGGCGAAATTGTGGAAATTCGTATGATAAAGGACCAGAAAGGCAATTTAAAGGTTTATCTTACATAATTGATTTGCTTTCCTCTGGTTTGATTACTTCTAATTCCCACTGCCTCAATCCTACCCCCAGCATCCCCCTCCTCAAATGTAGCAAGAAGCTAAATTGTTGGTACCATCTTTTTATAATTTCTCTTCCTTTTTAATGTTGACAGGGATTTTGCTTTGTGCGCTTTGCAACAAAAGAGGCTGCAGACAAAGCTGTGAAGGAAAAATCTGGAATTGTGGTGAGAATTAAATTTGCATTGAAATTTTTTTTGTTGGTTTTAATTTATTACTAGTGTTCTTCCATGGAGATTTTACTTTTAGAATGATCGGCCTGTGAATTTTGTTTACAACCCTGAAACTCAGAAGCACGCTAATTTGAAGCATTTGCAGCAGTAATGTGCTGTTAAGGTTGTCCACTTCTCTATAAGGACATGTATCCTGAATCCTACTAAATTGGTTGATTTCACCAAATCATTACAATGCCTGCACATTTATTTCTTAGGATGGTAAATTTAGTCAACCAACCTTATCATCAATCACAGTACGACCTAGCGTGAGCTGTGCTTTGGCTGCTCAAGCTTGTCTTGTTTTCCCAAATGAGTCGAAAAAATTGCCCAATTTTCGTTCGCTATGTTTCAAAGTAAAGATATCTTGAAAATATTAGCAGCTTAAAAATCTATTATAGGTCAACTTGATATATTCTTGAATTTATGTTAAACAAGCTTTAAATTAGCTGAGCATCAGTCGATCATTAGTTGCTCCAACATATTTATCTACTCTTTTTTAGCTATCAGTTTTCTTCATCCTGCAACTTATTTCTGGAGTATTCTTAACGGGATTAAGGTTATATCTCTCGTGAAATGTAGATGATTTACACCCATATATTAATATTGTAATTTGGTCTTGATAATATTCTTTTAGTAGTGTTCTTAATTTGCTTTTAGCTGTTCGGACACTATCAATGTGTCAGTTGACTTGACTAATTTAAACCTTTGTTTTACTGAAATGGCACCTGTTATTTATGTGATATGGATTTTATTGTTTTATTAACCGTTTTAAGTTAATTCAGCCCCTTAGACTTTAGACTATGGAATTTCTCTCTACTATGTGAAAAACATTACTGCCTTATTGAAGAACTTATGGCCACCCCACCCTCTCTTCCTTGGAGTTGATGGGGAAACGGACTTGGAGTTCTCATTGAAAATGCATTTTTTTCTTATTTACTCACTTGTATGGTTATTTGTAATGCATTACTCCAGATGTGAGATTTTGTTGACCCTTTCTGTGAATTCTTGTTTGATCTTTTCCCAAATTTGGAAAACTAAACCTTCTTTCTGCTATGATATTTAATTTGATTCTGTTTTTTTCCTTCCTTTTTAATCTATTCATAACATTTAGAGCCTACTATTTTGGTTCTCCCGCTATGTTTCTTTCAGGTGGATGGAAAGAAGATTGGCGTTCTCCCATCAATCCAGCAGGATACATTACACTTTGGAAACCTTAACAAAGGTTGATCCCTTCTCATATTGCAAATTCCAGACAAGAAATGCATACTAGTACCATAAATTAGTTTTTAGGCCATCAATCTATACATACTGTAAGAAGGTTATGAGTTTAGAATTCTTTTTTGTTTTTCTTAATTCAAAAAGGTCTTCATTAATCATATTGATTAATTTATTTAAAATTTTTACCTCTTTATGAATTTGTTTCATAAATTTTTTTAGCTCTGATACCAATTTGAGGGGAAATTGCGGAAGTAATTAATTTGTATGTATTCTAAGGGAAAGTATACAAATTTGTATGTAGACAATAAAATCCATATGGAAATCATGCTTAAATAAATTTAAAAGAATTCTAAGGTTATTTCCTGCTGTATTAGATACAGAAACTAAATCTTTCTTATTTGAGTTTCTAAAATACCTTTTCGTAGTGCAATATAGGCCCCGTTTGAGCTCCATTAATTTGAAGTAAGGTATTATGGAATAGTGATTGATGAAGAATGTGTGGTTAAAAAAGAATGAATTTTTTTTGATTTGTATATAATATTATTTTAATGAAGAATGTGGTTGAAAATGAGTACTGTAGAAAAAATAATGAGAAAGAATGGGGCTCAAAAAGGGCATAATTGAGTTCATATTCTGCTTATATGAATGTCCTTTTCCGATCGCAATGACTGAAAGGCACATCTTTTAGTCTGAATGTTGTTGCTACTGGAATCATGTGCACTGGAAGTTATGTTTTAAAATATTTCCCCCTTGTTTTCAGTTCTTTCCCTTTCCATTTTCCCTTGTGCATTAATTAATTTTAACCTCTGATAAAGTATATCGTTGTCGTTCTGTTTACTTAGTTTCTTCTGTAGTTTTGACTCATAAATTTCTCCTTGTCCACTCTTATCTTTTGACATGAAGAACAGTTTCTTGTTGATACACATGCCTGACTGCTTGATTTTGTATGTTGTCAAGGTTGGAGTGCTGATGAATTCGAAAAACTTGTTCTCCAGGTTTTCTTCCAAAAGTTGAACCATTTTTTATTTCTTTCTTTTTTTTTTTAATTTTTTTTGAAGAATTATGTTAAATAGCTCCTCTTCTTCCCCACTTGATCATTTTTTTCTTCCACTATAGGTTTTCCCTGATGTTGTATCTGTTGATCTGGCAATGCTCAAAGACATGCCACCTGGTCAAAAGCAACGGAACCGTGGTTTCGGTTTTGTGAAATTCTCATCTCATGCGGTGAGTTTCTTTTTGTTTTCAAGTATGTTTGCTCTGTTAATAAATCTCGCAGCATCATTTTTCAACTTTGTTTGCAATATTAAGTTCACTCTCCTATTGTATCTGAAATCATACAGGATAAAATCCCAGGTTCGTGAAAATTCCGGTTCTTGTTATGGCAATTGGTTGACTGATAACTATAAAAGATGTTCCTCTTCAATTTAGACAAAACAAGAAACAGAAATAACTTCCAGTAGTTAAAAAATGGTTTATACGTAATTTGGAATAAAATTTTGTGATAAGTAAAATATGTTCATAATTTTACAATATAACGTATAATCATGCAACTCCAAACAAGCATACGAGTATATGAGTGGAAAACCAATCATAATCCTCCAATTCTACAATTCTATACACTTTTTCTGTTGAAATCAAGAAACTTCCGTTACATTCTAATATTGATTCCCTCGCATTATCTGGTAAAGTTATGATATCTGTGGAAAACAATTTTCTCTCTTTGTGCTTCTTTTCTTAAAGTTAACTTCGGTATTTTGACTTTTTTATTGAATACCATAAAGATTTGTGTTTTTGTTTCAGTTTCTTGCTAAATAGTGTTGTTCTCCACACTTTTTTTTTTCTTTTTCCTGTGAAAACTCAGCTATATTTTTTTTGGTTCTTTATTCAGCGCTTTCATGATAACAATTCCTTTTCTCTGCCATTTCTTTTATTGAATTTTTTCCCCTGATTTATTGGCCACGGATGTCAAATAACTGGTGCGCTTTTAATTTGTTGAGTCTTTGCTGTATAACTAACTAGCAATTTGAGATCAAAATTATAGGAATATCAAGTAATAAAACATCATTATCTTAGTTCTTTTCTTGAGACTATCTTGCGGTATGATGCTTCTTGTGGAGCTTTATATGAATATCTAAAAATTCTCCAGTTTCTTCAGAAAATCCCAATATTATTTGCCAGTGTTGAAAGGTTCCTGTAATCCAAAATTGTCATAGGATAACTCGTCTTGTTTGTTCTGCTGACGAGATCCCTTGCTGTGAATCTCATTTGCAACTTTCTCTGTTCTTGTTACACCAAATGCTGGTTAAACCCCAACTCTGAAGTCAGCTGAAGTCTACCCTGATCCATCATCTTGATCAATGTTTTATCAGCCTTTCTTTACCTTCTTCCGGTTAAAGAATATTTACCAACTAAACTTCTGGAAACATATTCATCTGGATTTATCTATATATAGCGCACATATATATGAACTTGATAACTCGACTGAGCCATGTCAAAACACACCTTTGTAAAGAACAATAACAACTAAGTATCGCTTCCAAACACACCTTTTGTGATAAAATTCATTATTATCGGCAGGTTGGCTTGCTTCTCTGCCGATCTACTTTTGTCTCTCAATATGCAATCCTTCACCAATTTTATAAATCATTACTTCTAAAATAGGAGGCTGATAAAAATCCAAAATTAAATCTGCCTCCTTCAAAATTATCAATCACAGGCTGCTGCACGTGCCTTACGGGTGGGCTCCCAGTCGGATTTTCGTCTTGGTGGAAAACTGCATCCGGCTGTTCAGTGGGCCGAGGAGGAATGTGAAGTTGATCCAACAGAACTTGCTAAGGTTCGTTGTCAGTGCCTTTTATTACTTAAGCATGCCAATCTTCAAAGTCGTTTGCTTTACTTTTGAATTTAATCTTTGACTCAGGTAAAAATAGCTTTTGTCAGAAATCTGCCAACTGATGCAGATGAGAACTACTTGAAGCAATTGTTTGAGCATTTTGGCAAGGTTTTACACATGCACCCTTGATTTGGCGTTGCTTATATTATATGTCTTCCTTTTTTTAATCATATGTAATGTTATCTTTCTACCATCTTTCAGGTAGATAAAGTAGCAATATCCAGAAAGAGCGCCTCACCAGTTGCGTTCATTCACTTCACCGATCGATCAGTGAGTTGTCTTAAACCTGTTCATATTTGTCATAATTTATCCGACGGTCTCCTCCTAGTGAATCTATATTTCTGATACATATGACATGGAGTTGCAACTTTTTGTTTCATTATATCCTTTCATCTCTCGTCCTCAACTGTCCCTTGCACATGGGTATGTCTACACCCAGCAGACACATTTTGGCCTCCCTGTATTTCATTTGTGGTCCTTCCTCAATCCATCCCCTTCTCTTCACTGTTTGGTGCCTTTCATAGTCCATCCGCCCCTTCCTTTGGACAAAAATAAACCACACAGCATGCACACTAAGACAGAGGTACACAGGATGACTAACTGAATCACTGTTCATGCACACTGCTATATGCTCATATTCATTGGTGCGGAAACGTAATGAAATTCTTATAATAAGAATTATGTAATAAATAGAACGATATTGAACAATCATATATATATATATATATATATATATATATATATA